TCCTTGATACGACTATTTTAACTCCTGTGTGTTGCACAGTATCAAGCGAGATTGAAGGCGTTTTTCCCTCCTAGTGCACTAAACGCAAAGAGGCAACGCCGCGCTGAAGCGACGAGACGACACATCGGTAAATGGAGTCCTACGTTAAGTTATTCATTTTCTCTCAATTAAATTTGAGATATTTTTTTGACCTCTCGACTGAATTCTGAAGATTCAAAATTTCTGCCGTGGTAGCGAAGAGAGCGGTAAGTGTCAAATTATCGAAATCGAGTTTCCTTCGAAATTCGTCTGATCTCTTTTAGATGAAATCACTGAAAAAGCTAAAACAACAAAATTTATCTTAATTTTATCAAAACGACGCATATGGGAAAGCGGCATGTGCGCAAAAAATAACGTAGTTTCGAGCAAGACAGTAGTAATTGACATTATTACTCCAGAGAGCGAATGAAAACAGTGCTTTCTTATAAAAAAACCGCCCTCTTCTGCCCATGTCTAACCTGGAATTGTGTTGGTGTTGTTGTGGTTGTGTGGTTGTGTGATTGTGTGGTTGTGTGGTTGTGTGGTTGTGTGGTTGTGTGGTTGTGTGGTTGTGTGGTTGTGTGGTTGTGTGGTTGTGTGGTTGTGTGGTTGTGTCAGTTTTTGAGGTCTTTTTTTGAATTTTTTATGTGCGCATCGTATTTTATGCGTCGTTTACCTTCAGAAAACTGTGGTTCCATGCAACTAAATTCAAGTCAAATTCAACCTTGAGATAGATAGGCTTTTTTTCTGAAGGTCTAGTGTAGATACATCTCGACTGTTTAATGAAGTCCGAGAGGGATTTTTCCTGTGGGTCATCAAAAAACGAGAAAAATCCTAATTCCGGCTGTGCGCAAAAATGGCATGAAGGCCGCTTTGACAGTTAATCAACAGGAGTTAAAGAGTAGGGTCAACTTTGTCCCATTTAGGAGGTCCATATCTGTGTCAATCTTTGTTTTTTTCGTGTGGTGACACATTAATATTGCAACACCTTAAACAGGAAAAGAGCACACTTTGAACAGAGTGTAAATATGTGTTATCAAGGATTCAGGGCAGGACTGAAATTAGAATTTTATCGCCATCACTGGATAGTGCGAAAAGGTCAAAATCATATTCACTCGCTACTCATTTGCTGAGAGCATGAGATATGGACGCCAAAGACAATGCTGCGGTTCTTGAATAAAAAAACTATGATTCTCCTGGTCCACGTGTAATTTGCATGGAAGTTGCCGTTTAGTGCTCAGTTAAATAAACCTTTCCACAAAGCACAATCACGAATGGAGGAATTTGAAGGGAAAAGTGTTAGAAAAAGAACGACTTTCATGAATATTCAACATTTTACACTTACGTTTTACGCGTTTACTAAAATGATAAGTTTACCCTCGTTTTGCGAAAAATCGACGGGCAGTGGAAAGAAACTGGCAACAAATGGGTCACTGACCCTTGTTTATTTTATTGAATATTCTGAAAGTACAATATGAGTAGATAACGTGATGATTTTTCCGCATTTTTATGGAGCCGAAATCGTGGAGAAACCCGCTTTTGAAAAATCTAAAAACTGCAAGACATTTCAAACGCACCCGAATGGCGGGAAACTGACGGTGTTGACGCACTGCGGTAGTCATATCGCAATCTTCTCTCATTTTCCTCTGATGTTTGTTAAAATGAAACGTGTTTCAATGTGGAATTGTTGTTTATTACAGCTAATATATGAATGAGATTCAAGTCTTGAATTCAAAAGATACAATTTCGACTTTAGTATTGTTTTCATATACGAAGAGTAGATAGGCATTTGACGGAAGTCGTGGAAACCCGTGCCCGCTTCTGATTGGTGCCGAATGACATCATTCGGCGCGGCGCGAAACCGCGGCGTTTTAAATTTGCATATGAGTTGAGCGATTTGAACTGCGCATTTCTCGGTTATTGAGTTACTTGTTCGCGTTTTTAATGTGCGCATCGTGTTCTACGCGTCATTTTCCTTCAGAAAACTATATTCGCAAGTCAAAATTCGTTCATGATTTAGTGACCCATTATGGCATCAGCTATAAAGTAAATATACGAATTACCCGTCATAATTCCAACCTTTCTGCTCACGCATACCTGTTAATTAACAACATCGGTATCTCTCTCTTAGTCTATGCTCGGGGGTTTGAAGCATTACACGCGAGATAGTTTCAATTCATCATTGTTTTAGTTCCTCGACCCGAGAGCTGCTACTTGATAATGATAAGACCGACCGCCGTTTGCTCTTATTGTGTTGGTTCCTGATACGAGAGCCTACGTAGGTAAAATGCATTTGTTTATCTATATAATATTTTACCTCTGTAGTAGTTGCAGCCACGACAGCGCGATCTTTAAGGTGGAAGATTTCAGGTGCCACCTTATTAAGATGTAGAGTCCCTGTATACCCAGAGTTAAGACAACTCACTTTCGGTTGGGCTGAAAGTGGCCTAAAAAAAATTCAATTCTGATTGGTTCTCGCTCATGATGGCCGAAACGAGTGCACCAAGATGGCGGTACCTCGAATGTGAACAAGAATAATGAAAATATTACCTAAAATTGTGGTTTATCAAGAGTAAATTGTTATTTCCTTCGGTCCAAAATGAAAATAGATTAAGAAATTATTCACAAACCAATCTCATTTTCTTTTTAATCGATCAATTTGTTGATGTTGTTGTTTTTGTGTGACAGACATCGCAGGATTCCTGATCCGTATCCCTCAATATCGTTCGTTTGGTGCACTCGTTTCGGCCTCCATGGCCAGCCAAGGCCGGCTGCCAGTCAGCTGATAATCGAGTTGTCTTAACTCTGGGTATAATTGGACTCTATTAAGATGTTTCGTTGGACGTCATTTTTTGTGTCAGAGCAACGTGCGATATATCGCATCGGTTTGTTCCATAATTTCAGCCACTCGTCATTTTGTTTCAAATTTTGAGATCGCACTCCAGTCTCGTGACAACAGAAGTGCGATCTCAAAATTCGAAAAAAAATGACAAGTAGCTCAAATTACAGAACGAATCGATGCTGTATATTGCACGTCGCTCTGGCACAAAAATGGCGTCCGTCGAATCACCTTAAACGACCGAATTTCAAATTGAATGTATTTCTGCCATAAAGAACTATACGGAAATGGATTAGCCCGTTTACTGGCTTTGTTCATTACAGTTGACATTCATTTTGGGTACTTGTAAATCAAGTTAAACTGAAGGAATTGCTATTGATATTTTTTAGCTAATTGCTAAAAAATATCAATATAAACATGAACTTGCATGTTTACACAAACAATGCATGCGCATGTTTTCCGCACAAACATACCATTAAGAAGAGCTCTCTTGTTTGATTAACCTACAGCGGTTTCTCACTCTCCAATCCCTCCTTGAATAGAGCTGTGCCCGAGTAGCGAATTATCTGAATCAGAAAACCCCTTCAAATGTCCGTGTAGGCAATACCGCGTTGCTCTCAAGTTAAAATAGTTGCATCATGTAAATGTGATCGCTGCAGAGCGACTCCTCTCCTCACTCTCCGAAGTCCGACTTGTAATTAATTGTATCTTTTGAACTCATTCATTTAAGCTATCGCACAGTGTTTATGTTTTAACAAACCGGTATAAATCATGCGGTGAGAGTCCATTTGGTGCTAAAGCGTGTATGAGAATATGAGCTGACTTTTAAGTAAATTTTATTACCTCAAATAAGTATTATTCATTCACCTCAAGAGTATAACAGTCACTGATACTGTGTTCCTTCCTTTTCCAATTTACATTAATTGTTGGACCATTTTAAAGGTTTTTTGTCGTTTTTTTTTGAAGATGAATTCATCGATACCTTAGTTTCTTTACTTCGTAAACTTCCGCATGGGATAAAAAGTGCAAATCGTTACGATCAGGATGAAAATTGGCGCAGGCTTAAATACTGCCGTGCTAAGAAAAACATCATATGAACATTCGAGATTTGCCAAATTTTACCGCGGATAAAACATGTATTTTTGAAGAAAGTTTTGGATATTTTTCCTTGAAATGTTCAGATCTTTTATATTAAAATGCGAACAAAAGTGTCTGGAAATTTTTAAGAGAAGGATTCCTTATTATAACAGTAAATTCGATTTTTATTGAAGGAGATATGGCAATGTCTGGAGGCTCATAAGTCATTCTTCCTTAGTACGGCAGTATAGGCTCATACCTACCCAGTATACGTCTGGTTAAAATTACTGTTCTATAAGATTAGACAGAAGAGGGGGTTCAACCATTTAAAAAGTATTCGCGTGAATATTTTCCATGTTCAAAATTATCACTATTTCACAAGGATTCATACTCCTGCGAGTCATAACCTTCTGGCCAAAGTATCACAAGCGCCATGCGACGTTTAAAAGTTTCCGCCGCCATTTTATTTTTTTACAGAGAAATTGTTGGTTGAATCTGTTTGAAAATTTCACCGAATTTTATCGGCATCACAAACAAAATTCAGTAAAATTTTCGGACAGCTTCGACCAACAATTTCTCTGTAAAAATAAAATGGCGGGAGAAACTTTTAAGCGTCGCATGGCGCTTGTGATGTTTTGGCCGGAAGGTGACGATGTCTGTCTTTCACTGAAAAAAAATTCTCGGCGTTTTTACCGCGGTCCTTTGGTACCTTTACCATCTCACTTTTTTTTACCAATTATTCGTAATTTCACCAAGGCAGATTGGTAAGCTTACCTAAAAATCGGTATTTTTACTGTTTTTTCCAGGTAAGAATACCACTTTTATTGGTAATCAATTCCCGGTAACTTTGCCATTTTATCTCGGTAATTCTACCACAGTCGATAAAAAATATTGGCGTTTTTACCAAGGTCCAGTAAAATTACCAATGCCATAAATGGTAATTTTACCAAGAAAAAACTGGGATCAAATAGAACCCTGAATTCTTGGTAATTTTACCCTTTTCTTAGTAAATACACCGCACACAATAGTGTAACCAACAATTTCTCTATAAAAATAAAATGGCGGCAGAAACTTTTAAGCGTCGCATGGCGCTTGTGATATTTTGGCCGGAAGGTGACGATGTCTGTCCCTCATCCAGTCTCATCGATTGGACTGCTTACCTCCTTATTTTCATTCACTTGTATTCCGTCCTCCCCAAAACCAGTCGACACTCGACAGTCAACATCCAAATTGAGCCCTACAAAAATTTTAGACTCAATCTCGACACCCTTCAAATCCTCCTCAAATATCCTCTCATACTCCGAGTTCAAAGCAGCTTCTGCGGCCTCGCGGGCACTTCTGCCCCGTCTCAGCGTGATCACAAAAGCGACAGAATCCTTGCGAACGAGCACCACGTCTGGCCTGTTCGGCTGATCCCCAACGCGCAAGGGTGACAGCACCGTCTCGAAGACTTCCGGGTCCTCGTAGGCTAGAATTGTGAAAATCGGGCCCGCAAAAGACACTCTCTCCTCGGTCACCAACGCACAAGCCGGTTGGAAAAGTCCGTGAACCGCCCCTGCTAGTTCTCTCATCGTCTCCTTTGACGTCGCTAGATTTTTTACAGCCTCGACGAGTCTCGTCTTCGCGGCGGAGGAGATATTACGCGCGTTCTGGAAGTAGTTCGAATCCCGCGCCAAAGTCGTCCCCAGGGCGAAAGCGGCGTCCTGATTGGTCGCTACCAACAAACCGGAGTAACCGGAGTCACCGAGGTAACCAGACTCCTTGAGGTAATCAACGAGAATGTCGCCGGCTGCAACTACGTCCTTCGCAGTGACAATTGCATTGCCCCGTACGGTATGGAACACATCTTTTCCGATTGGATGCTGTAGGTGTTCGAGTTCTGGTAGTTCGTTCATGTCCCAAAAAATGGCCTTCTCGACCAGAGATCCGATCTCTGGTCGTGAGAAGAGACCCAGAAAATCGTGTTTCAATGGATCGACCGATTCAGACCAGTAGGGCGCAAATTTTCGGTACGTTATGAATTTGATCGGGGAAATTGTGTTGTACACCCGGAGATTGGAGTAGGCGACACCATACCCATCGTAGTACGATTTGAATCTCTGTAGCTTGTCTGTTAGAGAGGCTTTCTCGAGTAGATGCTCTACTTCTTTGTCAGTGAAGCCGAAGTATTTCGCGTACCGCTCATTATCGTTGAAAACTACTTTTTCGATGCAGTCTGGATAAGAATCCATATGAGCTAGATGGGTTGTGGACACAGATCCAACACTGAATGTTTTCTCAATGTGTTCGTTACTTTCCAACCATTTTTGTAGTATTAGCTTAAACTCCAATACTGTCTCATTTTGCTCCTTGATGTTCCTTTTTAAAATAGCGCGTGTCAAAGCGTCCATTTCGTCGATCAGAACGATTATTTTCTGGCCATAATGTTTGTACAGGGCCTTCGTGTAATTCATTGTAAATTTTTCGAATTCAAACTTGTCTATACACGCTTCATTCAATTTCCTTAATTCTGCGTTTTTTTTCTTGGTGGTTAATAGGAAAAGTGTTGGGTCAGTGTTGTTTCTGACATCAGTGAATATTTTGCACATGTTTTCCCAGAAGGTTAGTTTACTCGTCGTGGACAAAAGAGGTTGGAAATTTAAGTGCATCACTGGATATTTTCGAAAATGTGCGTTAAAAAAATTATTTTCTTTGGAGTGGATAAGGGTGTTTGCGAAAAGATCACGGGTCTGCTTTTCGTTGTTAGTGATGCTGAAAAATTCTCTCATCATTTCCATATTGGTCGTCTTTCCAAACCGCAAGGGTGCTGTGAGATAAGTGTGTTTGGAGGGTATTTCGTGAAATTCTTTGAGCCATAATGTTTTGTCCACAAATGTTCTGCTTAACCGTATTTCACTAAAAACTGAGGATGCCGCATTGTTTCTACCTGTGAACCGAAACATTTTTTTCCCTCTTTTTTAAGAAAAAAATTCAAATTTTCAAACGCACTCAAATCGTTTTTTTTTGCTCTCCGATGGTGTAGTTATTATGCTGGGTCTTTGGTCAGGAGGTCTCAGGTTTGATTCTCGGATAGGCTACCCTATCAAGCAGGCACTGGCAGAAGATGAGACTCACTGTAGGCATACCCACAGTGAGTCTTTTTCATCCAATCGATCTCCTATCATCCTTTTTTTTAGTTCGAGATCGAATCAATTTAATTTCCTGATAATGCCTGCATTTTTTTCTTGCAGCTAATTATTGAACAGCTTTGACCAAAACCATCCTACTCACTCGCATTAAAGAATACCGAAATTCCTTTGTATGCTGTAATTACTACTGGTGTAGTATACTTTTTTACCAATAAACTAAGCAGTATTCATTATCTTCGATAAAAAAGTTAACTCGAGATGAAAAGTAATGCAACTTAAAATGCAATGCGGCTGATTCTGATTGAGTCTGGCCAATTTATTTAAGCAATCATGTTTTTCCCTCGAAAAATTGGGATATAGGTAAGAACAGAAATTTTGAAACAACTCAATCAGCGTTGCGAAATGCGTGTCACGAATATCTCGACCTCTCCGTAGCTCAAATTGTATAGCACCTATTTGAAGGGGCTTTCTGACTTATGCCGATATCTTTGCTGCATAGGATTTTACCTAAAGAAAACTCTTCAAGAAGATCATATGAACAGTTAAATATTTTTTTTGATGGAAAGTTAAGTGAAAATAGTAGTGATCCTCGCAAGTTGAAAAAAAAAAAAAAAAGATACTGGATCTAGAGTCCAGACTCTTGAAAACATTGACAAGAAAAAATACTCTTGATTCAATCAGACCTAAGCTTAAACCAAAAGAAAATCCGCTTAAATCAAGAGGCTTGGTTCTTGATTTATGCAAAAATCCGATTGATTCAAGAGTATCTTTTCTTATCGATGTTTTTAAGAGTCTGGACTCTAGATCCAATGCGCTTTTTTTCCAGTGTGGGAAAATTTGTTTATATTTGAACGCGTGAAACTATCGAAATATATTGAAGCAGGTTGCCCTCTCTTTAATGAATTATTTATAATCATGCTAAATGGAGGAAGTACATTCTTGACAACTTGCGAGAGGCACAGGAAACTGACGGAGACAAGAGAATTTGCATACCATCGATTTTCCCGGCAACAAAAATCGCACAGCCAAGAAGTAAAATGATTACAAACCGCTCCATCCACGTCTTCTTCTCTTCTCAAAAAGTTTCTGAAACATACCATGCCAAGAACATCATGAATATTGATGGACTTATAGCAAAAATAATATTCCTCATCCAATGCAACACTCGGTTCAGTCTCACTCATTGGATCTAGAGTCGAGACTCTTGAAAACATCGACAAGAAAAAATACTCTTGATTCAATCGGATTTTTGCTTGAATCAAAACGAAATCCGCTTAAATTGAGAGGCTTGGTTCTTGATTCAAGCTAGATTCTGATTGAATCAAGAGTACTTTTTCTTGTCGATGTGTTTAAAGGTCTGGACTCTAGATCCAATGTGTTTTTTTTTTTTTTTTTTTTTTTTTTTTTTTTTTTTTTTTTTTTTCCAGTGAATAATAACTAAACGCTAAGTGCCGAGTATGGTGTATTTTTTTATGGAATAAGGCCTCTTCCACTCCATGGATTTTGGACTCTATGGATGGACTTTTTATCGATCAATTGTTAGCATAGTCAATAGTGTTGAATGTGAATGATCGGCGGGGAAAAATGCTTCAATTTATGGATTTTTAAAAAATTTCAGCACAGGTAACCGAAGTTTGCGGGTTCATGGACCGAGTTTTATCAGTTCATGAGAGTATACATTTTTAATGTTTACTAAGACTCATCACTGACTAACTATTTTTAACCAAAAATTTCGGTTATCCGTACCAAAGTTCGGTCCATCCGACCGAAAGCCGGAGGGCGTTAAGTTGAGCAGCCTGTATAAGGCCTCTCTACACATGGATTGCATTTTGCAAAAAGGAACCACTAGCATTGCAATGTTGCTAAGATTGTGCAACTTCTTTTATCTTGGAGGAAACCCCCGATTATCCCTTAATAGTTTCTACTTTACTCGCTAAAAACTGTAAATTTAAGACAAAAATTACCATCTAAATTTCACAGTGTTTCACAATTTCCGCAATTTTATTGCAAAGGATGAAGTTGCACAATCTTAGCATCACTGCAATGCTAGTGGTTCCTTTTTGCAAAATGCAATCCACATCCTAAGATTCTCTAAAATGCTCTGAATACCTAACGGAATTCAAGCAGATATAAGGCGAAGTTTCCTTTTCATACCATCAGAAAAATCCACATTAAAACACTCACAATTTAACAAAATAGGATTCAGATTTACACTTCCTCGAAACGCTCAAAAGATGGCACGCGTTTTGTCAAAGAGTTGACCGACCAATCTAGAAATTATCTACTTTCACTATGCACGTAAACATACGACATGACCGCACATTTAGAAAAGGCTATTCACACAAAAGATGGTTCTTTGCCATTACACTGGGGAAAAAAAAAACACATTGGATGCAGAGTCCAGACTCTTGAAAACATTGACAAGAAAAATGACGATGATGATTCAATCAGATTTAAGATTAAATAAAAAACCAAGCCTCTTAATTTGCGCGGATTTCCTTTTGATTTAAGCTTGAATCTGATTGAATCAAGGGTGTTTTTTCTTGTCGATGTTTTTAAGAGTCTAGACTCTAGATCCAATGTGTTTTTTTCCAGTGTAAATAATCAAAAGGAGCTAATTATGTCACCGTTAAAACGTGATGGCATAGTAATCCCTTTATCTGATGCTTCTTTCCATTCAAAAAGTGCCGGTAGATAAACTCACTACAGTATAATTGAGTCGGTTACTGTGTGTCCATGAATTTCGGATGTGCATGGAGCATTCTTTGTGTGGTTTAAGAATGTATGAAATTGATTCAGCATTTTTTGTTGTTTCTAAATCCACGATACAGGTTGATTAGAGCCAGCAATAAGTATGAGATGTAGCTTCATAATATAAACCAGATTGCAATCTCTTTTTCCCGTGAAGGATGTTAAGGAGACAGTCTACTTGTTTTCCTGACGTCTCTATTTGTGGAGACTGGCATTGAAAGCTTAAAAAATAGGATGAAGTGTCAACAAAATTGGCTCCCAGACGTTTGTGCACTCAGTCATCACTTACATCATTATCGCTGTTTGAACTTCAGTTTCCACCAATTTGAATTGATATGCTTCAAATTTGAGTTTTGAGTGGAATACCATCATTAAATTAGTATTACTCTAGTAGATAACGTCAGCAATGTGGACTGTAGTTTTGAGGAAAAAATTAACCATTCAAAACCGGTATCCATTCAAATGTTGCAAAACTTTCTCCGGAAACATACTTATTTCAGCGAAAGTTAAGAACATTTTTCTGTTAGGCTAAAGCGAGAGTAAAATTCCCTTTAAAAATTGGAAGAAGAATATTCACGAGCTTTTCATAAAACTAGTGCCTCACTAAGGGAACTTTGGTAAAAACTGAGGGCTCATGTGACGTTCTTCCTTACGAAGGCGGAATATTCCAAAGAGTGTTCAATATTTCATAAGCCTCACCGATCAAAATACGATTCTATGCTTAGCGTAACGGACGCAGGAATGAGTAATTTCACTTTGAAGTCGGTTTATGAGCGCACGAAGCATATAGACTTTACGGCTCAATAGTGAAATCCATCGAAACTTTCGATACTCACATCAACTGACACTTAAAAATTGTCTTTTTTGCACCAGAACTGAAAAAAAGGACAGTCAGGTAAAACGGAGCAATTTCCCCTACCCTCGTGGACTGATCTCCGTAATCTATTTTCTGGCATCTGGTTGACGTTGTGCGTTGGCGCCCTTATCACGTATTAATATTTCATAAGCGCAGCATTTTCAGAGCTGATAAAAATACTGAATATTTAATTCTCATCCGGGAAGCTCTAGCGCTGCCGTTAATCTGTCACGAAAATCGCCTTTTTTAAACACAGCATCGACATGAAATTCAATCGTGTATGCTATAAAGGACCTCAGTCCACGGAGAAAAAGGGAGGGGTCACATTTCGTCGTTTCCCGCACGAAGGAAAGTAACTGCGTTTCAATGTTGCCAAATTTCCTTGCGCAGATTGCATTTTTACCACGAGAATTTGGAGCATTTCTGACTGAAAAATTCACTGATTTTTCCTCTGATTTTATGCGAAAATCAGACCAATTTTTGAAAAAAATTGCACAGGTCTATTTTGGTTAAATATTGAATTGTTTGAGTCAATTTTGCAACCTTGGAGTTACGTTCTCTCGTCCGGGAGACGACGATTTGGAGTAGTGGCGAGGCGTGAATGATCGATTGCTTATCAATATATCTCCTTTTGAAGCTATGGTAAAGAATCGATCATTAAGGTGTTCGCCGCGAACACCCTGTTAATCGATCCTTTACCAAAGGTTTAAATGACATTGGGAGATATGTGTACCCCGTAACGTAGGTAACGTAAGCAACATTGAGTTGAGGTTACGTTCCTTCCTGACGGAAACGACGAACTGTGAGGGAGTAACAATGCCGTGCTAAGGAAAAACGCCATATGAGCATTCAAGAGTTGCCAAATTTACTCCGACAAAATTTTCGTTTCCGAGGAAACTTGTGAGTATATGTATTTTCCCTTTGACATTCCCAGGAGTTTTCGGTGAAATGGACCACTGGACAAGGTACGAATTTAAGCATTCTGATACATGTTTCTTAACCAGACTTTCACGAAAAACACGATTCGGGCAACGCAAATTACTGAAACCAACTCCTAACGGAGATATTAACATTTTTATTTCACATTGGTTACGGGAAATTTGAACTGCCTGCTCACAAGAAACTCAAATCTCCACGTGAGTCAAATCGCTCACTACTGCGGTTTCGGCAAGCTTCTCAATCGAGCAATGTTTATTTCCCACCCTGTGTTGTTCAAACTATAAGCAATTTGCTATAGCTGAGCCAAAGCGTCAAGACTGGGGTTGCGAGATTTTCATATCACAGAGACTGTCAAGGTAACGTTCAGCGCGCGATGTGACTCGCGTAGAGCATTGAGTTTTCATGAGCGGGTGGTTTAAATTCACGCATCAAGAAGCATTAAATATCTTCGATAGGCGTTTATCTTAGTAATTTTCACTGTGCGCATCATATTTTACGTGAAATATCGGTCCAAAAACATGTATCTGAATGCTTAAATTCGTACCTAGTAAATTGGAAGAAAAATATTCATAAGTTGACAAAGAAATTTGTGTTTTATCAAGGGAAATTCGGCAACGCCTGAAGGTTCCTACGGCGTTCTTCCTTAGAACGGCAGAACAGTTATTGCCCTTTTCCCGGCTGTTGACCTACCTTTTAGTATGATGATAAGTCTCGGATAACGCAATGAGCCAAACTTGCGAAACTTCGGTAAGTTTGCGAAACGGTATACTCAACACGTTGTTCTACATCGACCGGAAATGTAAGTCAACAGTTGAATGTTGGAGTCCCGAAAGTAAACGCCTCCACCGTTGCCAAGATACAAAGGGAAGATGTCTTCTTGTCTCGCGTCCCAGGTCCAAAAAGTGGAGAGAGAGGGAGAGAGGAAAAGGGAGGGATGAAGGAGACGGAAGCAGGATTGCCGGTGGTCTGGAAAATCAGGATAATCAGGGAAAGTCAGGGAATCCGTGGGATAAGTCAGGAAAGTTCTGAAACATCTACTAATCACTAAAACATCACTGATCTTCCAACTCCTTAGCCGTCTGGTAATTTTTCATGTGTCAACCTGTTACTGATTGCCTTCATCTATCATTTGCATTGGTTATAGGACATTTTGTCAATGATTTTTTGTCCGCGCACAAGTTTTTCTTAGCAGTTTACGTCCACGCGTTTTTTCGGCAGGGGAGTTTTGGTCCGCTCACCAATTGAGACCCAAAGTTAATTGGTCCACTTGTAAATACAAACGACGATTGCTCACGACGTTTTCGGTTGAAAATGTATAATATTCTGGAAGAATGAGGGTTTCCTTGTTTTTTTTATTTTTTATTTTTTTGTTCAAAAGCACGAAGTTCCCTCGCAAATGAAATCGAGTGGCGACGACAAATGAGAGCGGTAGTCGAAAAACTTACTAAGTCCTAGTGTCTGTTGTCAATAACGTTCAGCATGATTTTTGAACATCTTCAGAGGATAACATGACTTCATTGAAGCAGAAATATGCTCAAATTTACCGCCGAGAAGATTTTATTAGGAATCAATAAAGAAAATAATGCTTGTTTAAAAAAGAAAAGATGCTCATATAAAAAGAAAAGATGCTCATATAAAAAGAAAAGTCACTAACGTCAAGCAGAAACCCGCTTTCATTCAGCTATTTTATTCTTGATTCAAAATACAATCTTCTTGTCGGCATACTCAACAATTTTTCTGCCTAAATCGAGTCATTATTTACTCTGATGAAATTCAAAAATTATGCTAACTGTTATTGAATACGGATGTTAGAACTTGGTGAGTTTTTGGAGTATCACTCTCTTTTTGTGCCGTAGTTTCTTGATTTAGTTTGCGAGGAAAGCTCCGTACTCTTAAATGGTGCCTGTCATTGTTAATAAGTTGGAGCGCCTTCAATTTCATATGATACTGTGCAACACCTCTGTTGCGAAATAGTTGCTTGAGGCGCCGTAACATGCTGCGGCGCGGTGGCCGGTTGGCCAGCGCCTACAAACCTAAGTGGATACTTCAAGCGTTGCGCAATGCGTGAAGTATCCCCTTAGGTTTGTAGGCGCCACTGCGCGTTCCGCGCTGCCAGCACGCTGCACTGCTTTGTTAGGCTCTAATGTTTAAACTCGCGGAGTCCGCGTTTTTCAACTCATGATTTTGAAATGTTTGCACACTCTAAATTAATAATTCTTATTTAAATTGATGGGGGAAAAAGTGCGCGTTTCGCGCTGCTAACACGCCGCTCCGCTCTGTATAATAGGTTCTAATATTTACACTCGCGAAGTTAGCGTTTTTCAACCTAAGATTTTGAAATGTTTACACGCTCTGCATGGTTTATTCTCTTTCAATTAATGGGGGAGAGGGATCTGTATTAAAAGAAAATAAAATGCGTATTTTGTGAATATTAAGGTGGCTCCGTGTCAACTTTAGTGATGTCCATAGCTCTTTAATTTTTCTCTTTTATATTTTGTACTTTTACTGTGCTGCAGCGTGGTGTACGCGCAATCAAACGCTCAAAATTGGACGTATTTGACTCTAAGAGATCGATGTACAATTTGGTTGACCAAAGATTGCGCGCTTTTTGGTGTATTTCTTCTTATAATCATTTTTGAATACCTCATTTCTCCATCATTACCTGTTCCGTAGTATATTTTTTGAAGCAGGAAGCTAAAAAATTACGCAAATTCCTTACGCAGATTGTGAAGTTATAAGTGCATTTCAAACTTTGCCAATGCGCTTATTGTGATTTTTGAGACATTTTCTGGTAGAAAAAACTCTTGTTTTTCCTCTAGCAAAAGTTTGCTACAGGCCCATTCTCTGACTCCCTCTGACTATGTTTGCCATTCCTCGACTCCGATATTTACTAATTTCCGGCACCGAAAGAAATGGATTGCTGATTTACCAATTCAATTTTTAAGGAAATTGACTGCGATGTTCCAAATGTTAAATGTTAATAATATAAAAAAATTTATATGTTAGTAAATTTCGAAACAGTAAAGTCTTGTTTATTTTTAATTAACCCTGATACAAAAGGTAGAAGATCATAATCTTTACTTATATTAAATTTATATTACCGCACGGGGGTGATTAAATTAGCATTTTTATATTGTAAAATCTACATTGAAACATTGCAGTCACTTTTTTTAACTCCAAAATTGTTAAACCAGCAATTTAATTGGTTTTTCCTGACCCTTGATTTACCTTGAGACATTTACTGATAGTAACAACTCTTATTGTTGCTCTAGCAAAAGTTTGCAACTGACCTATTCACTGAAAAAAAATTCTCGGCGTTTTTACCAAGGTCCGTTGGTACCTTCACCATCTCACTTTTTTACCAATTATTGGTACTTTTACGAAGACAGACTGGTAAGCTTACCTAAAAACCGGTATTCTTACTGTTTTTTTCAGGTAAGAATACCACTTTTATTGGTAATCAATTCCCAGTAACTTTGCCATTTTATCTTTGTAATTCTACCACAGTCGATAAAAAATATTGGCGTTTTTACCAAGGTCCAGTAAAATTACCGAGAAAGTTCAATAATTTTACCGAGATTTCTCGGTAAAATTACCAATTCCATAAATGGTAATTTCACCAAGAAAAAACTGGGATCAAATAGAACCCTGAATTCTTGGTAATTTTACCCTTTTCTTAGTAAATACACCGAGATTTTTTTTCAGTGAGGTGAGGAAGTTCTGGCAACCCTGCAGAAATAAGGGTTGGGAAAAGTTTAAAAATTAATATCAAGATTGAAAGCTTTTTCTGATAAAGCGACGACGGGGAGCTGGGATGCTCAAGTGGACGGGAGTAATGATGTGTTGACTTTGTGTTTGCATATGTAGCCTCGCCCTTTTCCGAAGCGTCGATAAACTTTCACTAAGTTTCCTCCCTCGCCAAGCAAAAACCCCGCATGAGCACTTGAACGTCGCCGAATTTTCACCGTAAAAATACTTATTTTTGGGTAAACGGTTCGAATGTTTGTTTCATGAAATTTCCAGACAGGTACTACCCTAGTAGCAGAACAAATTTTTGATTTTCTAAAAAACGTATAAAAAAACATATCGACGGTGAAACTACCAAACCACGTATCTCGGTTTGCGACGTCGCAGACTTCCTGTCATACTTTATTTTTTAAATGAAAAACTACTTAACATCCAGTCTTGAAAATTTCTGTGATTTTTCCTCTTTGTGCGGAGAAAATTCCGTGA